TAAGAGGACAATTTGGCCGTGTATGCATAGGCGAAACTAGAATGCTAATTGATTGGCTGCCTTGCTGTTGATTTCATTTGTTGGCGATGTTAAATTCAATAGAAATCAACAGGGCAAAGCTGAATATATGAATATTCACCCCCAAATTAGCATTCGAGTTTCTCCCCTGCATGTATGTTGTCTACAGTCATCGTGACAAATCATGCAGGCGTTGTGGCCACAAACGAAACATCTAATTATAGAATGCTCGTCAATATCTTATTCTTTAATCGACCCCCTTACAAGGTTTCATTTTGGTCTGTCTACTCCCTTTCTTCCCTAATTCCCTAAAGTTAACTTCATTCACTGAATATATAACTGTGAAAATAACTGTTCTGTTTCAAATGCCTTTTTAATTTTTTATAGCCCATTTTTAAAACTTGCTGACTCGTCTTCAATTCAGTGCCCCCCAAAATCAACAGCTAGGGGGGCCCTGCCCCCCTGGCCCCCCATGCCACCACGCCACTGGGCCTGGATGATACAGCACAGAACTGGTTTGATTCTTTACTTTCCAACAGAAACAAAGTTACTTGCCGTGGCAGAGCTCAATCTGACCCAGACACAGTATCTGTCGGAGTTGCCCAAGGCTCAATCTTAGGACCGCTATTGTTTATAATTTATATGAATGACTTACCAAAGGTCCACGAATTTTGTAACGTTACTTTGTACGCTGATGACACCGTTTTATATTTTTATTCCAAACTTATTTCAGAAATCGAAACTAAGATGAACTGGGACCTCAGACAAGTATGTGATTGGTTGAAACTTAATCAACTTACTCTTAACATCAAGAAATCCCAATTTATGCTAATAGGTAGTGACTCGAAACTACGTAGAATCGATTTTATTGTTATTTCAGCCGATGGTAAGCAACTTAAGGAAGCAGAATGGTTTCCCTACTTAGGATTAATTATCAATCAGAATCTTACTTGGGAGGATCATTTTGAACACATGCGTAATAAGATAAACAAGAAGCTAGGCCTTTTGCGGCGCATCAAGTCGTGTCTCCCACTAAGCGCTAGGATAACTTTCTTTAATTCTTTTGTTCTGCCCCTTTTTGACTACGGCGATATAATATGGGAAGACCGGGGCAACACTACACTTATGACAGAGCTACACATCCTTCACAATAAGGCTGCGCGAATCATTTTAGATCTTCCCCCTACTGCTTCCGCGAGCGATCCACTTTCAAGGCTCCATTGGAAACCTCTAGAAAGGCGGAGAGCCGAGCATCGTTCTATTTTCATGTTTAAGGTAGTTAATAACCTTTTTATGCACACTTTTCACTGCTGTTTTAACAGTAACTATCATAACTATAATACACGATCAAAGCGAAATATCAGCAAATCATTCGCACACTGAAGATGGGGCACTGGATAACAATAAATTTTGCGGCGGACGTTTGGAATACCTTACCTCTTTCCATAGGAGATGTGCCCACCTTAAGCCAATTTAAGCGTGGTATCAAAAAAGCACTATTTTAATTAGTTTCGTTTTTAGCATGTTAATTTTCAAATGATGTAGTTTTATCTTCATATTTTTCGATTTGTATTCTTTTTCTTTTTCTTTTTAAGTAGTTATATTATATTTAGGTACTTTTAGAGGACCCCTCTGTAAACCACTTTTTAGTGATGTTGGCTTGGCATCCTCAATAAAGATTAGCTATTATTATTATTATTATTATAATTTCAAATGACTGATAATGTGCTTGAAGTACAAATTGTGAAGTGACAAGATTTTACTGTCATGGTTAAAACAGATAAAACCAGCTGCAAATGTTACCATTGCTTAGACATGTGATGAAAAAATTCATATATCTTATAACATTTGTTAATGTAAAAGACTGATTGAAGACTGTATTTTCAATCAAACATGTAATCCTTTTTCTTTAATGAAACTTATGAAATGTAGTCAATTTGATCACTTTATAAAAAGAGTTGCGCCAAAGTTTTGGATAGTAGCTTTCACCACTTGTGAGTTCTGTGAACAATATTTTAAAAAGCGTTATCCACACAAGCTGTGTATTTCGTTTTTGACAAGAAGTAAAAAATTGAATTAACAGCTAGCACTCAAAAAGAAACCAAACAAATAAATTGGAAAGTTTTGGATAGTAACTTTTTAAAACTATATATTTCATTTCGTTTCGCCCATTAGCTCCAAAATCTCATATACATAAATTATGCACTGTTTTACATGACTGACATTTTGAAGTAATAAAATGACCTTACAATTGGAAAGATTAAGGGGGAAGTATATATTTTCACGTAATGAACCAGCTTTAATCAGGCGTAATTTTACAAATAAATGTAGATGAACAGACTTTATGAATTACGATTGCCAAAGAGTATTTTGGTAAAACACAAGACAATAGACACTCCGTATATAGTAAACATTATTTATATAGATTAAATAATGTTTATCTAGATTAAAGAATGTTTACACGGGTGTCAATAGTCTTGTGTTTTACCAAAACTTCATAAAACAAACAGCAAATATTTTGTAAAACGAAAATAAAAACAAAACAAAAAACCATGGTATGAATGTAAGTTAAAAAAGAATACTCGAAAAGGGGGTTTTATTATCTAGGGGACACAATTTCAAACTATATATTTTCTGCTGGCAAAAACTAGAGGAGTGACAGTCAGTCTTTGCAAAACAGCAAGAATGGGAAAAGGAAAGCTTCGTTTTAGGTCAAATAATACCATATAGCTAATTGACGTCTTATTAACCTCGTCTGCTCGGTCTTTATTGAGAAATCTCGGACCTCTGTTTTTATCACAAACCTCTCCCTAAGGGTCTTGGTCAATACAAATAAATTAAGTCCAATATTTCTCCGTAAAGACCTAACACTCGGTTATTAAGGGCGTTGTAATGAGTTCACACATTGATAGGTGTTAACGAACTGTTGTCGCCAATCGTTGTTGATTATCTTAGTAATTTTAAGAAAAAGTTGCTAAAGTGCGCGTTGCTGTTGACTGTCTGTTTTGAGGACAATGAAACTATTACAATTTTAAGCAACTTTATGCAACCTGTCAAAGAACGAAAATTGTAAGCAGACACAGACATTAACACATATTTTACCGTTGTTGTTTAACTACTGATGGAGTTAGAAAAGTCTGGAATTATTTTAATCATACATTATCGTCATACACAGTATATATATATATATATATATTCAAAAGTTTCCTAAAAAATATGCAAGCACCCAAAAGCGTAGAAAATTGAGGAATTTTGTTCCTAAACAGAGCAAATGAATGGTTGCTTAATTAATAGCTACTTTGAAGTTCGAATTCATTTCTCGTTGACGATTCTTGCCTTTACTATATATTGAATCCTTGCCGAATCACTCAATTTGTTAAAAAGGCACCTTTCCCCACGGAGTCGAGGCAATTAAGACGGATCGGTCAAACATAGAAACTTTATCGCGATATGTGGCTTGTTTACTCCTATTACGGCGCTATACTTTCATTAAACAATCAACTTGTCCTCGCAAATTTTTGTCAGTGATTGCTATATAGCACACCTTGCATATACTTACAGGAGATAATTGTCTAGTGAAATGCTTAATAAACATTTAGGACATAGGAAAAGGAAGTAAAGATGATATTGAATGAAGAATCATATATTTCCTGAGAATACAAATCTAAGCATTCAACAGGTTATAAAAGTTAATAGCAATATGTTATACACAAAGTTTACATGTCATTACCTTTATAATCTTGATCTCTATATTCAATTTTTCTAGGACTTGTATCCAAAGCACTAAAAATGCACAAAGCAAATAAGTAAATTTGCTACATTTTACGAAAATGTACTCAACCAGTAATAGTCAATATCAAGTTCAACCAATGCAAATGGAGCCACAATGACCTACACATTTTGAAAGATACTTATCAAGTTCACTAACCATAAATATCCCTAAACAATTTTAACATGAACAATATCATACGATGTGGGAACAGGGAATGTCAAGGAAGCCCATATCTCTTGAAAGGTCTCCTTAGATACAATATCTGAATCTGATGAAGGTTGATCTGATCGAGACATCTAAAAACAAACAAATATAATTTAGCACAACTATTTGTACAGTTATAAACACCCCCAAGGCATGGCTATTTATAGGGAATCCTGTTGTAGATTAATGTACTGGATTGTAAACAAAGTCATTAATTTTTCCAGATTACAACAGGAATATGTATTCTACAATGTCAATGATTTTATTAGATGCTGACACCTAAAATATAAGTAAGTTTTAAATGTATGAATTGCTAAGTTATATGTATTTTTTGTAGTAAATAATGTATTGTTGTGCCTCAACCCACAATGAAATTGAATTATTATTCAATTTTAGAAGTCCATGAATATAAAATGGAATTTTTCTACAAACATGACTTACAAGGTCATTTGCTTTTAAAATTCCATCTTCCACGGGATGAGTACGGTCGATTGAAAATTTCAGCTGAGTTTTTTCGTTTGCTGTTTCTTTTTCTAAAATTATATTTTCATAGATATAAGATGTTACAAATCTTTATTGAACAACGACGACAAATATTATTATTTAGGAAAAAACCTATGAAATTTTAAATAACCATGAAACACAATAATAACAATTCAATCATGACGAAAATAGTACAAACAGATTAGAGAAAATAAGAAAAAATAATAAATTTTCAAGCCACTTGCCTGTCCCAATGTGACTGTAAAAATTTCTGGTGAACAAGAGACCACGTGTAACTTTGCTGGGGGTATTGTCACAGAATAGATACATATCTGTTCTGTGGTATTGTGCTTCCTTTTTAATCCTTATGTTTCAGATTTCGGTTCAATCTTTCAGCAACCATGACAACTTAAACATGGCGAAAAATTGGCAAACTTTGTGCCGTGTTTATCAATGGTGTTTGTAGAATAATAAAATTTACTAGGGGATTTAAAAGTTTTTACGACATTTCTACATAATAAATATGTCTAAAGGTTTTAGAAGCACAACAGGAAATGCAATTGGCAACTATGTAGGCGAGACAAGCAAACAAATAAGAAATGGTAAGGTTAAGTTTTGTCATTTCAGTTTTGAATGTGTTTTGTGACTTTGGTCCACTTTTATTTTCAACTTCACGATTATTGCTAAAGAATTTAATGTATTTTAGGTTTTGGTGTGTACAATTATTCTAACAAATTTTCCGTTATGGAGGAGAATGGAGGAAAGGAAAGAAACATGGTATTTTTGCTTTAGTACATATAGTTAGTTGTAAGTTGTTGAAGGGGGTTTCTGTTATTCACTAACTCCCGAAGATGATTTCAAAAAACTTATTTTAATTCTCATAAGGTCATGGTCGTTTTGTAATGGTTGATGGCAATTACTATGAAGGGTCTTTCAAGAATGGTGAAATTTCAGGTCATGGTTACAGACGCTGGTCTTATAGTGAGAATGTGTATATTGGGGAGTTTAAATGTAGTGAAATTTGTGGTATTGGTGTTATGACCTATGGTAATGGTGAAAAATATGAAGGTGGATGGAAAGATAACAGAAGACATGGTATAATATTGCTGAACTTACAGTTTTTGACCTCAATATCATTGCTTCATTTTTTACTTTGCTTGCCCTTTAGGAGAAGGTGAGCTTGTTGAAGCAAAATGGAGATATTTACAAAGGATCATTTTATCAACATAAGAAACATGGTAAAGGCCATCAAATTTACAGGTTAACAATTCACGTTTTATTTTATAAACTATCAAATTTATAATTATTGGAAATACCAACCTGTCATAGCAATATGCATTTTTACTACTGCAAAACTTCTTATGTCTACAAACACATAAAAATACTCCTGGGTTCAAATCATTTACTTTATTTCTTAGCAATGGTGATGAGTATGAAGGGGACTGGGTGCAAGGATTGAAACAAGGTCTTGGAAGAATCAAATATAGTGATGGTACCATATACAAAGTGAGTAGCCACGGCGTACAAACAATTTCTATAATAAAAATCAGAATAAGATTTATATTCAACTCCATAGCATAATTATCTGACTATTTAGGGTCAATGGCGAAATAACATGTTTAATGGTGAAGGCTCCATCTTCCATGTGCCTGGAGTAGAGTATGAAGGAATGTGGATTTCTGGAAGCCCTGCTGGCAAATATATTATTAATGATTCACATTACATACATAACCATCACAAATTTTTTTCATGGTAATACAATTTGCTCTTATGTCTTTGTCTTTTTGTATTGTAAGTGGAGTCATCATATTGGTGTGTGAAAGCAATGTGATTGAGATAGAACAAGGAAAAGTTTTGATTTGGATATTGTTCGTCAAACAGTTGATGGAAAGGCTGTCAATGGTATGCACTTTTGTAATGAACATTGAGAAAAAATAGTAAATCTAGGTCTCCACTCTCCTAGAACACTTTTATTGTACTTAGTTATTTTGAAGCAGAGTCTTATCCACTGACAGAAATGTTGCCAGATAATGAACCTTTTGTTAATGGCAAGATAGAAGAAGTAGCCCTCACCATTGAAACCGAAGACAAGAATGTAGAAATTGTACAAAGATTTTGCTATTACAGTTGATAAATTTTCTCTGTTATAATATCTTAGTATACCAATTTACGATAGATTGACATTAGGAGATACATCTAAGAATAATTCCAGTCCTGCAGCATCAGCTGTAAGTCATTCAACCTAAGAAAGTATGCTACAACACTCCCCATTGCGAAGGCAGTGAATGAGTTTTACAGACTCAACTGTCTTGCCAGATCACCATTTTCCTCAAAAAGTCGTCATCTATAAAATGTCGATATTATCATCGCGGTTTATAAGATATCATTGACATTTAAGTTTTTTCTATACATCTACTAGAAAATCAGATAAATCATTGGGAGTTTAGTATCGAACTTTCACGTGCTTTAATTGTCAGGATTTGTTAGCTGACAGTAAGCCAGATTCTTCTGGTTTGGGTTCTGTACCATCCCCATATTATCCACTTACCATTTCATTGCAAGCAGGGCTGAAAGTAACAGCCTCCCATGTAGCAAAAGTACAATTGCTTCCAGAAGAAATCGGTTTGGCAGAGCTGAATACTTGAATATTTACATTGACACACGCCCCACTCAACCTTCTAGTTTTGCCTGTGAGAAGCAGATGATATAAAAGTTTCACTTGAATAACATAACTAGATCGTAGTCCAGGGCTGTAGTCAGTTGTGCCCGACTGAATTTTTTTGAAAGTGATTTGTCAAGGATTTTCTCTTCATCTTCACGTCAAGTGGTACTGCTTTGTCTATCACTCACAGTCTGCATTCTGGTAAATCAGGAGTCTCTGGATTACGTAACGTTATTCCTGGCATCTCTTGGACACGACGCACTTCCGTATAATCTCTTTTATTCTCTTCCTACCTTTACCAGCCAATATCTTGCAGGTAAAATTCCCAAATGTAAACTCAACACCGTGATGTTCTTGTCTTCAAACAGCTTTAACGAGGTGTGAAGGTTGCCGAATTTTGACACTTTCCATCGTAGACTTTGTTTAAGCTTTACCCATACGTCAATGCAAGTTGTATTTGCCAACCGTCAAGATCTCATTCAAAATTAAGTCATATATTCTTCTTGATCTCTTTCGTAGATTTACTAGATTACCTACTAATCTCATAGCATAACCAGGGGTCATTATAAGTTTTTTCATTGAAATGTACTTGGTGTATTCTATGACAGCGCTAAGATGTTGCCTGAGATGATATTCTTTAGCATGTTGGTGATGCACAAAGTCTCAGAGAGAAGAGCTATTTTAACCAATTCCTTATTTAACTCAGTTCCAGTAGTACTGCCAGTCCTCCACTCCCAGCTCATACTGTTGTGACAGATGATAGCAAGAGCCAGAATACCAACAGATCTATCTCCCTGGATATACAAAATACCCCTCAGGACAGAAAATACGAGAAGGAGAAGTAGCACTGAAATGCTCATAACACAATGAATGCTAATTGTAAAGCTAATTTTACAGGATATAGAAAAAATAAGACCTTTATAAATTGACCTTTTGTGATTATTTCAATGCCAATCATTATATGCTATTGCTAAGCCCATGGTGCATAAAGAATTGCAAGCTTTACGTTCATATATTGCATATCTCAGTTATGAACATGAAAGGTTTGTTGTCCTTGAAATTGAATGTAACTTCTTGAACAGGAACAGTATTTAGGCACCAACAGGATTAGAATCGTGATCATGTATTGAAATTTCACAGTACGTTAATTCCTGAAGGTGTTCCGTTGTCTGATAAGCCCCGTATAACGTCGGTTGAAGTGCAGAAAGAAATGCGAAACACAATTAACGACAAACCTAGGAACTACCTAATCATAAGACAACACACCAAGAAAATGACCAATGAGAAGACAACATACCTAGGAACTGACCAATCAGAAGATAACACGTTTAAGCAAATTGTGACATATTTTAAAGCTAACTCAGCCTGAGAACGTGCCATATGACTCTGTGCAACCGTTCGTGCAGGAAGAGAAGATAAAAGAAGTCAAAATCCTTTGTCTTTGAAATACACCTTGTGTTTATTGAAACCAATTTCATTGGTAGTGCAGCTGTTAATGACAAAAAAAAACACCTAACCCTTCACTTTAATGATACAAGTATGAAACTTTCTCACATTCTTGCTATGCTTAGAAACACAAAATTTTGATATAGGGCCAGCCCATATTTTACATTTAAAACGAGTTCTGCGAATGTCGTGTTTGATGACGTCGTCGGTATTAAAAAATGTAAAGTTCAGAGAAATCTGCAATTTCCCTGTATATTCTTAAACAAAAGCTAAAGATGACAGAAAAACTATATTACAACTTTTTCTTTTGGGCAATACTTTCCCAAATATTGTGCATGGAATATTCTTAAAAGTGCTGACTCAGCACTTTTATACTTATATATAAAGTGTATAACAATGTGCCCTCCCGGCTTTCACCATAGTGCAATGATAAATCGTATTGAAACAATGAAGAACATTCAATTAAGTTTCTTTAAGATTTATTACCTTACTTGTGTCAGCATTCAGAATACTTATTCATTCTATCCTTTAACATTTCAGGTTTTTAGTATTTTTGTTACTTCAATGTTTTGAAACGCTTCAAAACAATCACCTAATTGATTTTCAACTTGTGCATGAAAATCGTACGCACTGACCAACCATGATTGAAGTAATCTATTATTATATCCTTACTTGTTCTTGTTGTAAAACTTTGCTTTAAGATTGTATTGACGTGCGCATATTTTGCGTGTTCAATTTAATATAGAAGATTCTTTTTTTGATCAAGATGTAAACACAACAAAGCATGCGCATGTAGTTTCAATAACTGCTTCCCTCGTAGAATAGTATGTAACTTATGGACTGGAAACTACGCATAATTTGTCAAAAAGACACTGCAGAACGTCTACAATGTCCATCAAATCAAAAAGAAAGGATGCAGGAGTTGGGTACTCCTCATTTGCGAAAAATCTGCAAGAATTTATTAAAATTAATATGTTACCGGTGAATTAAATGAAGATATGATCTTCGCACTTTGCTGGACAATTTAAGCAATCGTCTCAGGACATGAAAAAATCAGGTGACTCAACGGTGAAAAAAAATCAGGTGACTCACCTGATTTTTTCAGGTCCTGAGACGATTGCTTAAATTGTCCAGCAAAGTGCGAAGATCATATCTTCATTTAATTTCAAACACCGCACTGCATAAAACATTCTTACCGGTGAATCTAGACATAAAGGGTCTCGATAGAGGTAATGGAATAGAAGAAACGCTGAAAGAACGCCAAGCATCATGGCATAAGTCATGTAGGGATCTTTTCAACACTACAAAGTTGGAACGTGCCCTGAAAAGAAGCTTAAGTGCGGAGAAGACAGACGAAGAACAAACATCTGAAATCAAAAAAGGAAGTCCAGTTAAAGCCAGAAGAGCAAGCTTCCCTGCAGTTTCAAAGAACGAGTGCATTTTCTGTGATAAACCAGACAACTCTTCAAACTTTCGTGCAGCTTCAACGCTTGAGATAGACGGCAAAGTTAGGGAATGTGCTGTTTTGCTAAACGACAGACAACTTATAGCAAAAGTATCGAATCGTGATATGTTAGCAATGGAGGTAAAGTACCATCCTAAATGTCTTATTTCTCTCTATAATCAAGCAAGGGCAATGAAGGCTGAGACGTCAACAAACGCTGAACGTTCAGGACCAAACCTTGATGGGTTAGCGTTTGCTGAACTTATTGCTTATATTGAAGAACGACTAGAATCAGATTGTTTAGTTTTGCTTAAGATGACGGAGCTGACAACATATTTTAAAATGAAGTCGAAGGCATTAGGAGTTGAAAATGGATCAATTAATACTACCAGACTTAAGAAAAGAATCTTGACTGTTTTTCCCAATCTTACTGATCAAAGTCAAGGAGGAGACACTATACTTATATTGAAACATAAAATTGGAAACGCTCTTAAAGCGGCAAAGGAAGAAGATTCGGAAGCATGGCATTTAGCAAGAGCGGCTATGATTATAAGAAGAGATATATTTCAAACAAAGAACTCATTCAACGGAAAATTCTCCAAAGATTGTCAAAAGGATTCTGTTCCAGCATCATTAAAAGTTGTTATAGATATGATACTTAAAGGAGCCATTGTAAACAAGCAACCGGCAGAAAGAGATCCAAATCAAGCTGGCTTAACCATCTCTCAACATATTGTCTTCAATTGCACTTCACGCGAGTGTGAAGCGTCAAGACCTCATCTCACTGTGAAATACATCTTGAGTTTATTGAAACCAACTTCATTGAGGTAAATGTGTGTGATAAATGTTGGTTTTAACAGAGTACTCTTTCTTCTATTGAAGTGGTAAATGTAAACGACACTGTGATTTTTATTCATGTAAAGTATGAGACCATAGATTTAGAAACTATTTTTCGTTCCATTCTCGATTTTAGACATGAACATTTCTCTGTTAAAGACAAAATCGTCATCAAACAAGGTTGACAAACAACGATGTTTGTGGTTTATATTCACCACGATGATAGACTTGCATAACTATAAAGAAAGTGATTATTGTCGACGGTGGTATGCATCGATGTGGCTTTCGTTCACCATTCCCTTCAGGCTAAGCAACACATAAAAATGAACAATTTATGCTATGCAGCTGTAGATTCCATAATTTTGGTAGAAATTTTATATTCCATAAGCTGCATGAAGTCTGAATAAAATCCTCAAAATAAGTATTTTTTACGTTATTAATTTTTGACATTAATTTCACTGGCAGTCTATTGTGAGCTGACGTTATCTTCTATTATCTTATTGTATAGAAACTCTTATCAAGAATGAATAATATACTTGAATAAAGTCCTCGGAACAATTAAAAAGAATGGATAATCAAGTCCTTTGAACAATGATCAAGAATGGACAATATACTTGAATAAAGTCCTCCGAATAATTAACAAGAATGGACAGTCAAGTTCTCCGACCAATGATCAAGAAAGGACAGTTAAGTCCTCCGAACAATGATCAAGAAAGGACAGTCAAGTCCTCCGACCAATGATCAAGAAAGGACAATATACGTAAATAAAGTCCTCCGAACAATTAACAAGAATGGGCAGTCAAGTCCTCCAAACAATGATCAAGGATGGGACAGTATATACTTTAACGACGTTAGAAAACACGAGACTTCTTTTGTCCATCAATCCGTCTACATCACATAATACAATCGCAAATAGAACATGTTGCTCTAAAGCAATGCTTCCATCAGCTCAACTTTTATGTCCATAAACAAGTCCCTGTCCTATTGGAATATGACCGAGGTTATTGGATTACTAGACTATGGCAGTTTAAAACGTTACTATCTTGGGTATTATATCTAACTAAGATATGATTCCCACTGGTTAATCCGCCAATCCTAAAGACATGCGAACTATAAACGACGATATATCAATAATATTATGTTAAGAATAATATTCTTATTAAACTATTCACAACACCAAAAAATCCCACAAATCCTTAAAGCTATAATCAATTATTTAAGTAAACTGAACGAGTAATTTAACATAGTTTTTCTTCTTTTACAGATGAATAAAACCACGCCACCATTGAGCAGACAAATTTCGACATTAATTAATTAAAAAAAATTCTTAATAAAAACATGGAATTTTTTCAGCAAGCAAAACAAAAGTAAAAGTCCTATTTTTTTGACTAACTGTAGATGTTTCCGTTTTCATGCCGTAGACGACATGCACAGTTGTAAGAAATGGCCAATCTTGCTTCTGTCCTATCAGTGGTCGACACGAAACCGAGGATGTTTGTCTCGTAGCCGGAAAATTGGATGCAATGGATGTACCATCAAGGTTCTGAATTTTTTTAAAAAAGTTTTTTTTGGATTCTGAATGATTTAACGTGCTCAGCATCCGTTCATTTCATGGTAATAAAGGAAAGAAAGATTCATCGTCCTTTCCTTAAACTTGGCAACGGATTCCTCGAAAACCGTGAGTTTACATTATGCTTTGTACGTAGTTTAGCCTGCTAACAGGCCATGTCATTTTACAGGAATAGGTAAAAGCCACAACAAATCCCAGTGCGCAGTATATTTCACTAAGGGCTATTTTTGTCAAGGCAAGTATAATATTAAATACACATTTTCATAGTAGTTTTCTCCTTGCATTTCAAAAATGCTTGCCGTGGACGTTGCCTCGCAGAAGAATAGATAGGATTATGTAGCTTAGATCGGAAATGCAAGTGAAGGTTAGCAAAAGGAAGACAATTTCTACTTGGGGTTAGTGGTTACAAGTGGAACCTTGGCGTAGAGGATGCAAATTGTATCTGTAAGAAGACCCTAGAAGACTAGTTCTAGCAAGCAAGACCTATTGAAGACAAAGGAAAGATGGTGCCTTTGCTGGAAAGAAAAACTATCTCTCCCTTAGTACGGTAAAAGCATGCAGTCCTGGTAGTTAGCCAATTTCAAGAACGGCTTTCTACAGGGACTATTAAGGCACTCTTGGATCCCCTATAATGCATGAGTAGTTCAACCCAACTCGGTTGGAGGTCACCCGTAGGTGCGACATGCACTTGGTAAGCTAAGATAAGGGAATGTTGAGTTACCTCTCTCAAAGAGCATTCCAGGGCAGAATTCCAGTATCATGCACAGGTAGAAAGTTTAGAAAGCTCAGGCATTCACTGTAGTTGCGGCGAGTAGTTGCTACAATTTCTTTCCTGGGAATTTTAATACTTTTTGCCACAGCGCAAGTGAACTAAAAATAAGCGATTAGTACATAAGGTATAGGTATGCGAAATGCCTTCTCAAAAAACCTAAAAGGAAACATAGTTTTAATAAAAGTACCTTGTTTGTATTTTAATGGTTAGTATGAAGACAAGTCGAAGACGTTGTCACATATTTTACTTAATAGTAACTAAGGTTTCCATGTTCGCCAATCCAGTTGCTATCAAAGTCAAGTATGTGATAAACGTCAAACTAAACCATAACGTAAATCAAGCGCCAGCGGTTGTTTGGTTAAATCACCCCAAGTCCCTCGGTAACCAAACTTAACGTGTGCTTCTTCAGGTAATTACTGTTGATATTATTTTTTGATATTGACTATATTTTTCTAAAATGAGTTTTTGCACTAGTCTCAGTAAACCTCATCTGGCTCTATAAAATACCTATAGGTCTTTCATCTAATCTATATCACGCAGGAATCGCTGGCTCTAATATTTTAAGCGTTAGTGACAACTGTTGCGCAAAGCACTGAATGAAAACGGTGCAAAATAGGGACGCTTAAGTGGCGCTAGGTACGACTTATTAGATGTTAAAAAGCACACGTTTTACAAAATTCACATCAAAACAATTTTCTCGTTCAAAGTAGAAAATTGTCTAGTCCGACGATTGATTTGTGTGTCGGTAAACAATAGCAAATTCCGTGTTCGTTAAAAATGGGGAATTTTATAAAAATGACTATATACCTTCAAGACCATTATTTTCAGCCTTGAGAGTGCATTTTAATTTTTCTCTTACTTTTTTGGCTTTTTGAATCGCTTCAAAGGTATTTAAAGTTTATTGTTTGTAAGGGTTCTCCCGGGGCGCGGAATTTCGGCTAAAATCCCTCGTGGTTTTTTCCTGTTCAGTATTCTCCAAGTTCTCGTTAATTTGTGTTCGGTTTTGGTTTATACCTTTTAGGTTTTTCCATAAGATCTTTTATTTCGTTAAGTCGAAAAAAAAGTGACCTTGGTAAGGGACTAAAGTTCTACTTCATGTTTTATACAATCATCAAAACTAAAGACAGAATTCATTTTGTGAAAGAAGTTGTTTAGAGTACGTGCTCCCGATAAAGTTAACGTGAACACGAACCATTTTTAATCGTCTGACCTTGAGCCATTTTTGATCGTCTGACCATCTTCGGAAGATAAAATTTCTGAATTATTTTACAAATTGATGATCTGTTTAATTTTTTCTAAACAGCTTTAATTTACCAAAAATGGTACTCACATCTTTTAGGAATGGTGCAATTTAGTCTTTGGGTTCCATTCCCAATACACTATTCTTGTGTAAGAAATACCCATATTATAGTTGTAGTTTTTAAGTAATTTCTGACGTAAGCATCTCAAATTGTACATTGTAATAGCAAAGGCATTTATGGCTATACATATATTTAAATTATTATGTTCTGAGTTATAATTTTATTGGCAAATGTATGTGGTCCAACGAATTTTTTTGAAATTCATTCACTCGGAAGAAGTCTTTAAGTAAAGAAGATGATTTATTTCTTTTTACGTAGTTTATGTGTAGAAAAGAATAGCCATTTTTCCCGACATATAATAGTACATACGAATGCTTCTACTTGATTAATTTAAATTTTGGCTTTCTAAAAATGTTCATAATAATTATTGACACTTCCATCCAATTTTGGGGGTAAATGGTATTATGATTTACATTCGTTTCCCTCAAGTGAAAGTTGGTCCTCTAGCTGGTGGATAGTGAATTTTAGCAGGTGGTTTATCAGCTTTATCTACCGCTTCATAAGTTATAAAGCATACATATTTACTAATTGGTGCAGAATATCCCTTATAATTTAGCCAGATGTTATACTTGGAAATGTACAATTACTTATGACGTTTTAAGTGCCCATGAGATGAAAATTTTATGTTTTAAAGACTGTAGCATTGATCTTTGTCGTTTAGAAGTTATTTACGTTCTTTTGTTAATACAAAGTATGCTCTTTGCGAAGTTACTCAATAAAATATAAAAAGCCCAAAAGCTCAAAATTTTTATAAATGATTTACAAAACTTTCAAGTAAAACTGTCACACAACTATTACTGAGTGCTTTCATGTGACATTAATGTGCGGATACCTACCTGATGATATGGGATCTGAGATGATAAAATCAACATATGTTTGCACTATTTTCTATATGTGGAGTAAATACAAGGTCTTCCAGCAGTTATAAGATTATTTTGTAACTTTACTCAATGAATGTGAGTGTGAGAGAGTTTTTAGAATATAGGCAATAGAGAGCACCGTAGTTAACCTTACGTGTATTTAGGTGTATATTCAATATTCGTTTAAGAAATCTTAAGTACATAGCACTTGCATTTTAGTTGTATGGATTTAGGCACAAAATAATTGTCGTGGTTACAGCGCTTGAAATAAGCAAAATATCAGATAATGATTACAACTATGAATATTTTTCTATAAAACTATTTGAAATATTATTGAGTCCATATACAAATTATTAGACGAAATGCTGTCAATCACTCAATCTCAAGGAAATGTTATTTAATTCAACTATTTGATATGGATTAGCTACGACATTAATGTGAGATTCAGAACAAAAGATTCTATTTATAGAATTATGCACAACTTCTGATGGTCAGGTTTTTAAGACAAGGAACTCCCAAGAGCCCAAAACACCAAGGCCAGACTTTTAGTAATTATAATAATTTTAGAAATACAATTTTTTATCGTATACGAGTTTATTATGTTGGATGAATGTAGAGCAAAATTTATCAGTGCAGCCATGTATAAAAGTTAACTTTTAATGTCATGTTCAACTTCAGTCTTTTTCCAAAACAATTTACAGTAAAAATTAAATATATACATTGTATCAATGAATACCACAGGCTATACATTCACCAGAAACGGGGTGAAAAATCATCTAAATACGCCGTGGAAACTGTTTTCTTTATATCTGTAAAATAAGATCTCTACAGTATCAATGATTTCTTAATATCTACTTTTTTCACCCCTAACAGGTTCTGTTGTGTCTAAATTGTTTATTGATGTAGTTCGCTTTCATTAAAATTAAAAAAGTTCTTAAGTTCTGGTTTGTTTTTCAATTCTTTATTTGACCTGACAGCAGCATGGACCCGAACAGGGAGAGTAGGAAATGTTCGGAGAAAATATGCCCTGTAATCGCCAATCTTATAAAATGGTTCTGGTTGTGGTAGAGGTCGTGGTCGATCGTTCCAATGTTGGTCAATTCTTCGAATGAGTCTTAAGCATTCTGTCCATGAAGATTTATAGGTCCTTTTATTCACCAAATAATCATAAACATCACTATCCATTTGGCTTCTCCAATCTGAGGATTCACTATTCAATTGTTGAACGACACTACACAGGGGATCATTTGTCTTAATCTGCGGAAGATTTCCAACTTTACATAATAAGTCAAATTTCTCGTCATCCGACAAAAGAAATGGATGTTTTAACGCCACGGTAGCCGATGGTCTGTTTTCAGGTTTCATATTTAACATCCACGACAGAAGGTCCTTTAGAGTTTCATCCTCGATTTCATCCAAACCAACAGGGTTTCCTTTTAACATATTGTCCAATCTAAGCCGTTTCGTTCCAAAAGGGTGTTTTCCTTTTGTTGCAATATAATAAGCTACCATTCCTGCATTCTAAAAAGATTAACAATGTAAAGTCACAAATTGATTGTATAAATGCATGAAGTAAAAATGGTTATATTCCTACACTTACATATACATCAGATTGTTTCTTGTACCGTCCCGTATGAAATGTATCTTCATCTTCACAATATGATTCAGGAGCAATCCAATACTCAGTTCCCATGTTAGGACTGCTTTTATATGTCGTAGAATCATTTTCTAATATTCGACTAATGCCAAAGTCAGCTATAAGAAAGTTGTCCTGTGTGTCTCGGAGAACATTGGCGGGCTTTAAGTCCCGATGAAGAATAGGATTTGGGCCACTGTGAAGATCAGCTAATCCTTGCAAAATTTGTCTGAGAATTTTGGGAAGAGCTTTTTGAAGATCATGTAAAGTAGAAGATTCTACGAAACTCTTCAATGATTCTTCACATAAGTCTAATATCAAATATACATATTCTTTCCCAGTCTCTTCCTCTAAGAAAGAATAATTCACAACATATTTCGACTTTCTTGCGTTGAATTTATTCAAAATTTTCTTTTCTTGTTGTGCAAGAAGGATGTAGCTATCTTGATTTATTCGTTTCACTGCTTTACCGTAACCATCCTTACCCAGTCCAAGATAAACACGGGTTGCACCACTTCCTTCGCCAATGCAAAACTCTTTTGAGAAAATTACTCGTACATTGCCCACCACTTTAACCTCAACTCTGGGGTTCCGTCCATGTTCAATCAATTTTAAAAACAATTCTTTATGTTTCGTTGATTCATCAATGTATTTCCACTCTTGTTCAACCAATTCTAAAAATTTAGATAAAATATTATATTTAAGGGTGAAAGAAACGAAATAAATACGTCAAAATAGCTTAAACTTTCCCAATCAGGAAAGGATATTATTAGCTACCGCACATTTTTGAAAAAACTTATCAACAACCATTAGACAAATCACAAGTTCTTTAATTGTACAATCAAATCTGGCAACATTTGAGGTTGGCTTATACCACACAATTAATCACAAAAACTTCTTTCTGCAGTACTTCATATATTTTTTTAGGAAATAACCTTACGTGTTTCGAAAATATTAAATTTAAATTTTGAGAGCATATTTCGAGAGTCTAAAAATTGTTTCTAGAAGAAGATAGCAAAATAACTTCATTTAATTTTTCTTTCCATTCTCGACACTCATCTTTTAGATACACTATCTAATGTTTGAACATTGCCAAATGTGAACAAATATGAACATTGAAGTTCGATCAGCAGCGAAAAGTCAACAATTATTCTCTCAAACCTTGTTTGAACACCATTAAAGTGCCAATGAAACGAAAACTTTGCTAATTAAATTATATTTACATTGATCAGAACTTTTGAAATGAATGCTTTCTAAAACCTTTTATGTATGACTCTTTCACTCTAAAAATACTGAAGTGAAGTCCTTGCTATTACCAATTTATCTAACTTGTGACATCATATTGCATGCAAAATGAGTCGCTGCCATGTTTTAAATACACTTCATTTTCCTGACAACCTTACGTTGATAATAGTAGGCAGTATTTTATATCATTAAAACATCACAACAAAAGAAACTCTGCAAAGTTGAAGTAAAGTATGAGCAAATCTGCCGAATAATTCTATTTCTTATTATGCAATGTGACGTCAAAGTTAGATGAATCGAACATAATAAAAGCTTCAATATCTTGAGAACAAAAAGAGATACGCTTAAACTAGTAGAGAAACTACGTTGTCATACTAAAATTTCTGTTCAATAAAAGTATAACACAAGCTGCAAAATTGTCGTTTTATAGACATTTTAAGCTTTAACTCTAAATTATCTGACACGTACTGTTTCTCTTATTCACCTTGGTAAAGTGAACCTCGCTATCTCTATTTCTGCAAACTCATGCCCTAGCTCCTGCTTTTATTATTCTCGCGAAACATTGCTGGTATTGTTTTACTTTTGCCAAATTGAAGATGGTTTTTGCAGTTTTAAATTCTTTATTAAGCATAGGATGATTTATTTACAAGAAACAATTTGTCTGTCATGTGTCTATTGTGTCAGGGTTTTCGTTATCGAGAAAATTTCCATTTTGATGACATTTTTACACAGGTAGAAAAGGAATCATGCCATTAAATAAATTTTTAACACTACAGAAAGAGTAAGCGATTTAAATTCTTATCATATCTTTCAGTCTCTTTGATAAAATTCTTGTCTGTTTTAGAAACATGTGAAAGAAATCATGATGTTGTAGTGCTAAAGTATGATAAATTGACAAGATAAGCAACACGGACGATTCAAGCAAATGATCGAACTTTCGGCTTCAAATATTGTAACATCTTTTTTGGATTTTATGTGTGACTCAGAACATTTCACTTGTCTTTGGCTACCACTATAATCACGTTTTACTAATTTGAAAAATATTCTCGTTTAATAGAGCGCTCCTTTGGAGATCTCTTATAAATGAGGTTAAAGAGAGCAATTGAGCAAATCATTTCCATGCTTTCACAAAAAAATTTTCAGATCAACTTTGTATTTTTCCATCTGTCTGTCTATTTATTGGTCTATTTGATTATCTATATTTGTATTATGTTTAATGTAGACTACGTTGGCTTTCACAAGAAATCAGTCGACCACAATTGAAGATATGAATATCCCCTCTCCCACCCATATATAAGTTATAATTTCGGCCCTGTATACAGTGGTGCGTGCTACAATATCTGAGAAAACATGATACAGCCATTGAGTTCTGAAACCGATATTTCAGCAGCAGCGTTATTAAACACCTCTTCCCCCACACCACTAAAAATTACAGTTTCGGTTCTCTATACAGTGGTCCGTGCTACAGTATCTGTGGAAGCATGATACTGCGATTGAGTTCTGTAAGCTATATTTTTGCAGCAGCGTTATTAAACACTCCCTCCCCAAACCCACTAAAAGTTATAGTTTCGGCCCTCTATACAGTGGTCCGTGCTACAATATCTAAGAAAACATGATACAGCCATTGAGTTCTGTAAGCGATATTTAAGCGGTAGTGCTATTCTTGCTCAATCGGGAGGCTTAAGTCGTAAGTGGCTTGGTCTGATTCACGCGCACTTTTTAATGAAGGTCACCAAGCCATTTGACAATCATCAATTAAGACACAGTTTGAATCATAAATGCGATTTTTGGAGTCACTTGCTCTTCTAATATAGTCCAAATAATCATATTTACTTATTTTGAAATCAATGGGAGTAATTTATTGAAATCAATGAATGAAGTCGTTGTTTTTATATTTTTGTGATTAGTGACGTTATTTGCTTATCCATTTTGTAAATTTTTCTAGTAGAAAAAACTCATACAGTAACATTTATGCTCTATGCTCCTTTCAAAATGCAATTCTAAGTAAAAAGTATTCAAAATTTAATTCTAAGCTAGAAAATGATCTTTGTGGATTTTTGAATGATGTTCACACTGAAGAGGTAATCTTCAGTATACTTAGCAAGGAGAGAGTTCAAAAAAACTTGTATTTTTCAGTAAAATTAGAATTTGGAAGATCGTTTAATAAATGTGTAATTTATTGCTACATTTGTCATAATGAAAATTATAAATAGCCTTCCTTTTATTGTGGAAATTTGAGAATTCACATCGTCAAATTTGCTCATTTTCCATATGATTTTGAGGTATTTTACTACAATGAACAGGAATTCTTATTTATTGAAGTATATCGAGCAAGTCGATTTGATGGTGATCGTTTTTTGCATAATTTTCAATTTTATTGGCTAGGTAATGTATGCATGGTGGTGCAAACGTGAAGTATGACAGTATATCAAAAGAATAGTTTGTTGAGAACTTTTTATGATTAACAAGCAGAATAGAATAAATGTTCTTTTAAAAAAATAGATTGTATGATGTCATTATCACCTCATGTTTCACCTTAATTTCAACTGACTGATAATGTGCTTCGAGTACAAATTGTGAAGTGACAAGATCTTACTGTCATGGTTAAAACAGATTACACCAGCCGCACACGTTTACCATTTAGTGTTGCTTAGACATGTGGTGAAAAAAATCATATATCTCATAACATTTGTTAATGTAAAAGGTTAATTGAAGACTGTATTTGAAGTAAACTTTTATTAGAACTTGGACTTGGTGATGTTTTTTAATTGTTTTAACATGCTGTAAGCCAGGAGCAGAAAACATAATTTCTATCTGGCAAAAAAGTTATGCTCCGACGAATCTCCTGTGCTCTAACAAAGAAAATAGTAATTAATTTAATCAAACAGGAGCACTTTTAAAACAGATGGTCTAACCTTAACACTTCCAAAATGAAGGGGCTGATCTGTATGGTGTACATTATGTCAAGATTTGTTTTAAAAGGGTTTAGTCTATTTATTATAATCCTTTTTCTTCAATGGAACTTATGAAGTGTAGTCAATTTGAGCACTTTATAAAAAGATTTACGTCACTTTGCTGCTACGCAGTGCTTATTGAGATAAACAAAGACTTGTCAAGTTGTGCTGAGCACTGCCGTCTGGTACAAAGTACATTTAAATTATTTGTCGTTCGCAAAAGGAAAATTTAACCCAATGATACAGTATTGAACATTCGTAACAAACGAACGTTTGGAGTCCGAAAGTGCGACACTGTATACGTACATCAGTCATATTATCAAATAATATAAATCTTCATCAAAGCACACAAACACCAATCAAATAACTTGAATTGTGATACAATACAAGACAAATATACTTAGGTTATGCAATATATATAAAATAAAATAGAATTGAAAGACATACCTTGTTTTGTATTTCTAACACCAGGAGAATTTCCGACATCTTTAGCATTAGCATCATCACCACTTGTGATTTCTACAAACAAGATTTTAAAAAGCGTTATCGACAAAAGCTGTGTATTTCTATTTTGACAACAAGTAAAAAATGAATTTACAGCTGGCGCTCCAAAAGAAATAACACAAATAAATTGGAAAGTTTTGGATAGTAGCTTTTTAAAACTATTTATTTCATTTCGTTTTGCCCATTAGCTCCAAAATGTCATATACATATATTACGCACTGTTTTACATGACTCACATTTTTAAGTAATAAAATCACCTTACAATTGGAAATATTGGGTGCATTATATATTTTCACGTAATAAACCAGCTTTCATCAGGCGTAATTTTACAAATAAATGTGGATTAACAAACTTCATGCATTACGACTGCCAAAGAGAATTTTGATAAAATACAAGACAATAGACACTTTGTGTATAGTAAACATTATTTCTCATGTATGCTTTAATTCTATGAGTCACTTGGAAATAGACACACCAGGCATATGGAATATTATTATCTCTAAATTGGTGCAATGTTATATTTGAATCTTACAACTAACAATGAGTTTATAGCTGTTATATATCTCGAGCAATGTTTGTTTGATTAAAATGTTTTGTTTCCATCTCACTGTTTTTTAGAGCGGGTTTTATCTATCTGTTTTCAGTTTATAGGTCGACTTTTGAATTATTCTTTTCGTTGATTAAAGTAAATATGAATCCCAACTGCGTTTTAATCATTGCTTTGGCTCTTTTGTTTGTCTACAACCAACATGAATAACACAGTCCTCACATAAAACAATTTGTATGTCAATCAACCACTTAAATCTAGGACTCTAAATTAATTATGGCCAAATTTTTTTCTATTATACTACAAAACTTGTAAGTATTCTTAGCCGACTGAAACCTGTTAAAAGCCATCAATAAGCTACGTATCTCAAATAGTTGGAGTTAGACACCAAAAACATGAACTAAATTTGACTTTATTATTCTTGCTTTAGCCATAAATCTACCTATTGATTTGACGGATGCATGACTTTGTGCCAGTATATTTTCCCTAAAGAGCTGATTCTCCAGTTCAGTAATGTCTGTATATGGAATATGGTTAATAGTACAAAATTCTCAGCAACTCTGTGACAATTACAAGTTACAACAACACCTGTTTTCGAGACATCAATGCAGAAAGCTTTATCGTCAAGAGTTACACATTTTCATGCTTATTTTAATAATCGAAGTGTCCAAAATTTAGTACAAGAACGGCAGAATACATTTGATAACTATTTATATTCTTTATGGCTGTCAGCGTTACAAATTTCGATAATGAACTTTATGACAAAATTGCGTCCTCCAAAGATTTATTAACCAATATTTGTATTGATAGTTATCTTTTTCATACTTTTGCCAAATTTTGAGAAATAAAACGCGTTTTTCGACACAAAATTTAATATTATTGATGCTCCATGCTGGCATTTGTTTATAGTAATATAATAAACTAGCGAGGTGGGAACATCTTATGACGTCACGATCGATTTGTAAAAATTTGCATCCGTTGCGAAATTTAGCGTTAAAATCAAACAGCTTATACCACACCAAAAATGCTCAAACATACACCAAAATGTTTCTAAGATTTTTTATTTTTCATTTGGCGAAAAAAGGATGGGGTGAAATTTGGCCGGACTTTCACTTTAACAAAATATCATTATCGCAAATGAGCCACCAACATTGTGTTGTATATAATACCTACAAACTTACCAAAATCTTTTGATGACAAAGACACATGAGCATGACCTGGAACTGGAAATTTGCTCTGAGATTTTACAGACTCATATTTTTCATTTTCTTCGTAAATCGTACGAAACATGCTCGAAGACGCAGTGACATGTGTATGGTCTTCACCTAGCACATTCAGTTTTCGAACTTCCAGAGATTTTTCAAAAAACTTTATAGCTTTATGGTGTTTTCCTGTTTTATCATAAAGCAAACCGATATTGTTTAATGATGCAGCAACATCAATATGATTTGGACCTAACGATTGTTTTTGAATTTCCAGAGCTTTTTCGTGAAACTCTATAGCCTTGTCGTAATTTCCAGTTTTTTCAAGCACATTACCAAGACTGCTTAAAGACCGAGGAACCTCTACTTGATTTCGACCTAACGATTGTTTTCTAATTGCCAGAGCTTTTTCGTAAAACTCTATAGCTTTGTCGTAGTTTCCAGTTTCATGAAATACCATACCAATATTGTGTAAAGACGCAGCGACATCAACATGATTTGGACCTAAAGATTGTTTTCGAATTTCCAGAGCATTTTCATGATGATTTTTAGCTTCGCTATACTTCCCGGTGTCATGGTATAAAAGACCGAGGACACTAAAATACCAAGCTTTGTCATTACTAGATTCTTCTGATTTAAATTTATCCAATAGTTCAAGAGCAAGATCGTATTCTCCAAAATGTCTTAATCTGTCAACAAAATATTGGAAAACTTGGAAAGTATTCATGCTGGTTTTTGTCTCGTTGGTCCTTAACAATTGAAGAAATTTTTCAAGATGTGGCATCAATTTGCTTTCGTCGTCTCTCTCTTTAAACAAGTAAAGTGCTTTTGATATTTGATCAACGTCTCTTTCTATTTCATGTTCTTCGTTTGAATGTTCAAATTGATAAACAGTAATTGCTTTGTGAACAATGCGATGTAGACTAATGTCATCATTTTCTGAATGCAAGAACAATGAGCAGTGCTTTAAAGAAATACATATATCTTCTTTTGAGTGTTTTGGATCAATTTCTTGAACATAAAAAACAATAATGTCTCGTGGTATAGGATCAAACGATATCAAAGAAAAAAAGTTAATAACATTGGCCAATATTGAGGATTCTTCAGCATTTTGTCTGACAGCTAAAAGTGAAGCTTGTAACATACTTCTAGGATATACTGAGTTAAATCTAACAAAAGTGGCGTCCATGTTTTCTTCTTCTTCTGAAGATATTTTCTTTAAATATTGACTCCAAGTAAATGAGCAGTTTGCTTTGTTCACACGACTGACATAATAACCAGCAGCAGCCAAAGCCAGCGGTTGACGATCTAATGCATGCGATACTTCATTTAACAATTGATCATCAGCATGTTCAATAGTGTAATGCTTCAACAGTTGAAAACATTCCCTATCATTCATTCCACTTCTGACAGAAATATGTTTATTAAACCCATCGTCTTGAGGTACGGCATCTGTGTTCTGGATAGTTACTAAGATTTGTCCATTTCTCCACATGGGATCACCAACTTGGGGAAGTAATGAAGAAATTTCGCTGAGCTGTACCACGTTGTCTACAATGATCAACCAATTATGCCAGAATTTTAATCGTGTGGATACTAACGATCGCAAGTTCTTCACTCTTTCTTTGATGGAACAGTTTTCATCTTCAAATTTTTTAATCATATACTTGTCACAGTTTAAACGGTATCCAAGTTCACAGTAAGTTTTTAAAAGAGATTCCTCATTTTTTCCATCGAGAGTCATTACAAACGAAGTTCTATTATTCCAATCACACATATTTTTTTCACAAACCTGTCTTGCAAGTTGAGATTTACCACTGCCAGGATTACCAGTGATGTAAAAATATGTCAGTTTATCATTGTTATCATTCCTTAATTTTCGAAGATCTTTTATAATTTTATCTCGTAATTCAGTGCGTTCAACGAAAAAATTATTAGGTTTTGACGGAAGAACTTGAAACGAATTAAAAGAGTTTCGATGATTTTTTATTTCAATGATTTCATCGAGCGAAAATTTCAAATCTTGAAATGATTTTTCAATGATATTAACTACTTCATCAAAATCATCATCTGAGCATTCCCCTTCATACCAATGTGCGTATTTGTTTCTTTCACAACGAAGTGCATAAACAGCATCCTTTTTTTTTTTGTCAAGTTGCTTTCCAATTGAATTTGAAAAAAGTATTGCATCAAATAATATCGTACAGTCCCACTTACTGGTGTCTCCATCCTGATATTTTTGTCGTGTTTTTTGGTCTATTTTTCTTTGTGATTCCAATTTGTAAAATTTGTTACCACTGTTGTGTGTATCATCCCATTCTCCATCAGTTGATTTGTAACGAGAGTTCCATTGTTTAATGAAAAACTGAGCAAGTTCCTTTTGTACCACATTAATTATTTGCCTAATGTAAAATAGGTTTCTACTTTCTCTTGATTCTATCTGCAAAAAAATGACTTATCAACAATATTAAAATCAAGTACTTTACTGGACAGTTCACGTGACTTTCCAAAAGACAGACATAGGAATTTAGATTTCTATCATCTTAGATCGTCATTTTTTGACGTCTTATATCTTTTAGACTGTTTCTAAGAATATGGTATAATGTTCTAGCTGATAGCCTTTTCTTGACTATACCATGTAACGCTTATGGTAATGCCAACCATAGTCTATAATTGGTTTATTCAAACATAACTTAGTAAATGTATTTGTTTTGCAACATGCTGTAACACATTATCGTTTTTTTTCTTGGATTGAATGGCAATCGTAGAAACTTTTCATCAATTTTTAGAAGACCACAAACTACTAAATTAATAATCTTAGCTATCTTTGATAAATTTTACTTGAAACGAAAGTTTTTAATTTATGTTGATAAAATAGTATTTTTTGGGAATCATTTACGTAAAATCAGTTGTTGAATATTACTTTTCGGTTATGCTCAACTATTTAAGATGAGTATTTTAAATACTCTTAAAAACTTTAGCATTTTAATCACAATTTTATTGCATTTACAATTGTAATTGTTAACATAAAAAATAATCAAAAGTCGCACCTGCATGTCAAAGAGCTACGTCATAAATCGTTTCTAAGCTTTTAGAAAAGCTTTTCCGTTTTCAATATGCTATATATATAGAAAGAAGAATGTTTGAGAGTCACCCCAATGATATGCTCAAACTGAATACGCGAAAATGTTTGAGCGCTATTTCGATTTACTCGTTGATTGCGTGCCATTTATTTTACATTTCTCTATGGTCTCTACCGATTTACGAATAACGTTTGTGCCATGAAAAATGTGAGGTTATTAAAATGCTTTTATAAAAAAGGGCAAAAGATTTCATGGTCATTGGGCCCCGAGCATTGAGTTCTATAATAACTGGAGCGGCTAACTTTACTAGGACCTGACGCCAAGAAAATGGCGGCCAACGGACGTATTTCCGCTGAAATGATCGCTTTGCAGAAAAATAATATTCTCGACCTCCCCCTGGTGTCTATAGTAAATTATAAAGAATTTTTCAAAAACAAACACGATATCACAGAATACGGATATCGTTAGTTCCAAATTCTGTGACGAAATCTTTTTTGGCATTTCTTTTATAATGCCAACACTTCAATCGTTCAATTGTTGGATAGCGTAGTTTCCACAAAAATGAACATATCGCTTCTTACAGGTGAGATAGTTGCTTGTTTTTTTAGTCCGTCAACGATTGAAAAGCAATTATACATGCACTTGAAAAGCCATAAAATACATCTTAAAGATCGTATTTTTTAAGACTGACTTGAACGCCAAATATACTGATGTTTTCCTATTTTTGTTTATAAAATTCTGCATACTTTTCTGTCATTTGTTAATGCATGAAATCGTAAATTTACCCATCTATTTACAAAATAGTTTCCCTAAAGCAAAAAAGACCCTGCACACATTTTGCTCTGTGAGTAAGTATCAAAAAGAAATGATCAGCCCCAACAGTACCCATGATTTGGAGCAGAGCTTGTTATGTTTTATTTGCTGACAACATGCAGGGAAGACCAAGAAGTAAAGATGACGGGAAGATGTTATTGACCAGGCAGAGTCTTAAAAAAATGATAATGCTGTAAAGATAATTGATTTATTGTCTGCCCTATCCAGAGTTATTTAATTTTATCATGGTCAAATTCTATGGATGGAGACAATGGATTCACTAATGATGCCTTGAATGCTTTGAAGTTAAAGTTCATGAACCAAGGAAAGATGGCAAGAAGGTTGTGTGTGTTTTGATGCTTAATAAAATGTCAATTCACAAACATATATAATGGGAAGGCCATAAAGTTTGTGTCTATATAAATATTTGTACTGAGATTGATGATGACTTGATGCAGATGTGAAGCACCAACTGTATAAGCCATTGGGCTTTATATAACTTAATGTTTAAATCATGTCATATCTTTATCAAAATATTTTAGTTGAGTGTTGTTTAAATGTTACTAATATCTAATGCACTATACTGAAACATTAAAGATTCAGTAATGAAACCTTTAAAGTTGCTGTACTGTATATTTCTTATATAATTCTTATATTTCTTTAAGAAGCAGTTTGAGCCTAATTACCTAATAGAGTACAGAATGGAGATTTACATATGCATTATTGCTGCTTTTTTAAAGAAAATTTTTTCACTTTTCAAAGCTTTTCTACAAGTTTTTTGCTTCTTATTTCTTTTCATGAGATTGATGATATAGAGGTAATATAATCCAATAACTTTATAATTTCTAGAAAGCTTTTAAGCTTCTAGCATAAAAGTACACTATAGGTATTTAATATATTTGGTTTTATTGCCTTGCTATGACATATCTTCTTGCACTTCATCATTCTTGTATGAAGAAAAAACCACATGTGGATACTCAGAGAACAAAATGCACTACCAACTGCTTATGAAATTTATTATTGAGGTGAAAACTGTGTTAATCATTCAAATTGTGCATGCAAATATAGGAAAAACAAAACAAAGTGAAAAAGAAGGGTAGAAGTATTAAAACTAAAAATGAATTATAAACACCATTGGAAGCATAAGTATTTTGATGATTATTTGCATTTTGCCCGATTCATATATCAATACAACAAAATCAAAATGTGCTACAACTTTACAAGTATTTGATGCAGTTGCACTTCAGAGCATCACAAAAAGGTTACTTAAAGTAATTTCTATACAATATTGTTTGTTTTCATTTACCAAACCTATGCAGACTTGAGTCTTTTTGAAATTTAATACGAAACTCAATTACAGAAAATCCGTAAATTCCAGAGATTTATTGTCGATTTTAGTTAACTTTTCAAATGGCGGTAGCAAGTTACTTTCTAATGTTGCCAACTACATTTCCAAATATGGAAAATTCGATATAAGCTTGTCAACTTGAGTTGACAAGATGTGTACTTGAGTACTGAAATTGTGTACTTTAGTACTGAAGTTGTGAGTTAAAGTTGCGAAGTACTAGCAAACGCGAAAGGTCTTTGTACCATGTAGACATTTGGCAATGAATCCGTTCAGTAAGCAAGGAAAAGCTTTAGCAATTCTAATCCGTTTGACGGCCCTCTAATAGTGTTATAATGCGATACGCCGTTTACATTATGTAATAAATTTACAGTAAATGCGGCACTAGAAGAGTATCGTTGGACTTTAAATGCAGGAGTACCCTGCATACTGTGCCCTCGACGTCTGTTGTCACTCGTAACAACTACAGGCCACTCATCAAAGAAGTGCATACGGTTGCAATCAATCAATGAAATATTTGCTAAGTAAGCTTCTAACTTTTCCATAACGCCCGGCCGTTCTGTCTCTCGCCATTTGAAAAGTTAACTGAAATCGACAGTAATATTTACTTTTTTAAAGAAACAAGTAAAAATCCTACAATTGTGACGAAGAAAGCCATTGCCCATTGCATGAAAGATGCAAAACAGCAATGATAACAAACAAGCTAACTTCTCTCTCGTGAACACTGGAGATGAACTATGATATACTCTTTTGTATAGACTAAAGAGTTCAATCGATCAAACAAGTTTGACGCTGGTATGAAAACGACGCACATCTGCATTCATACATGTGTAGCCAACATATAGCTCTTTCGTTATAAATGCATCCTCGTAGGAGCAGATAACTGACAACCACAGTTGAATCGCTGTTATGAATTTAAGGTTTTTACCTTCATTTTCATCAAAAAATTGCTTGCCGAATCCCAAATACACACATACATTTTCCTCACTCTTTCCTCAGGAGGGAGTGGGAAATTGTGAAATTTTCGGAAAAGCGGTCAATTTCGGTAAATCTCAGCGGCAACGGACGAAATCCGCCATTTTTTTGGCGTCATCAGATATCTAAGGCCGCGCTTGGGATAGCCGCTCCAGTTATTATAGAACTCAATGATCCCAAAATATTGCTTCAAATGAGTAGTCGTTTTGCTTCCATGTTTCATAAAAAGATATAAAACCTTTGCCTTCAAAATGTTCAACGAATTTTTCTTGTCACTACACTAAAGATTATGTTTGTCAAACTCAAATACTAGAGAAAGAACTTTTTTACGAGTTATTTCGATTCACTCGCAAACAGCGAATTAATTTATCCACTCGCGAACAGCGACTTATTTTATTCACTCGAAAAATTCTCACACTCGAGAGTGCCTCGCAACTGCATCGCGAGTCACTCGCTCAATCGCAACTCGTCACTCTCGAGTGACTCGCAATTCGATATACTCGCGAGTTAAGTCATGTTACTCGAGGTCGGTACTGTAGTCAAGGTCACTCAAACAGAGAAGGTGTATGCTGCAAAAGAATGTCCAAATTTAGAAGTATAGAATCAGAGGTTTTCAACCTAAAGAATGGACAAAATTTCTAAATTTCTAAAGATAGATATGATGGAAGGAATGGTTAGTGTAAAGGATGATGTACTGAAGCATGTGTAGATAGAGAAAATACTGAAGCATGTGTAGATAGAAAAACTACTGAAGCATGTGTAGATAGAAAAGCTACTGAAGCATGTGTAGATAGAAAAACTACTGAAGCATGCGTAGATAGAAAAACTACTGAAGCATGTGTAGATAGAAAAACTACTGAAGCATGTGTAATGAAGCATGTATTAACCAGTTGTAACATTTAACTTTGAACACATGACATGAATGATGTGACATATATATGCTCTATTCCATTGTTTCTTATGTAGTTAACTTTACAATATTCTATATTGAAATCCTTCATATCTGCCTTAGTGTACATTGTTGGGTCAAGGGGAGAAGGTTATGAGTTAGTAATGACTGTGATGAGATGTACATTTGAATAAATATAACAAAATAAAATCATCGAAAATGTTTCCTTTGTCAGACAAAATTTCTTTTTTTCTTTGCATGCACAGATTTTAAAGGCAAATGTATGGTACCTTGAACTTTCCACAAAGTTGTCCATATTTGAATCACAAGTTTGCTATTTCTCAATGATGTCAGATAAAGGGTTTGTAGCATAAAACATGGTTTCTATGGACCTAAATTAAGTAAGAAAACATGTTACATTAACAACAAAAACATTTTACACATTTTTTTACAAAATAGAGGCAGATCTAGGTTAAGTCAGAATACATTATATAGCACCTAATTATAGATTTAAAATACAATATCAATAAATTCGAAGGTTAAAAATTTTCTAAAGAACATTTTGAAACTGAACTTTTATCGATAGAGTAGTTTAAAAGTACTTTGAATTTTAAATACATATTTTTTCATACATCTAAACCAAGGGAAACAAAACGCATTTGCAATGTAAAAACAAATATTAGCAAAATTCTTTAGCTGCTTAAAAAAACTGGAACTTAAATATAATAAGTGATACTAGTTTATGGCAGATATAAATTGATTTAATGATGAAAATTTCCATACTTCTTAAACAACTAGTGACTTATAAATGTCATTTAATATCATGACAAAGTTATAGAAATAACACATATATTTTACAAAGGTAAACATACCTTGCTTTAAATGACAGTGATTTGTCTTTGGTAAGAAACTTGTTGTTTTGATTGGTAACTTTGTTTGATTGGTCTACAACTACAGAATTACAATTTCTAAGGGTTATCTACAATATATATATATATATAATAGGATTTTGTGATAAAAGCTATCGCAAACAAAATCGCACGGATAGAGTGCTCAATGCCACGGCAGAGCGGTATAATTGAAAATAAAATAAACCACGAATTACTTCAGGAATTTATTCCTACAGAACTGTTTCGTATGGCAGTTGTTTAACTTGCCACACTCGTTAGGAGAATAAATATAGCTATATAACAACGGAACTTATACACAAAGATGAATAATTAAGTGATATAGTATTACATTAATGACGTTAGTAAGTGTTTATTACGATGGCATGCGGAAATGAGTTCGTTTCGTTTATTAAGCGAGCTCATTCCGCATCGTATCTTAATACCATTAATGTATTCTCATGACGATTTCAGTGAACCCTTTAAACATTCTATGAAATATTCTGATGAAAATAAATAATTATTGGTTTTCAATTATATATATATATATATATATAATTTATGGTATTTTGGCAGGGTTGCTGGAGCCAAGAGGTTAATTGTGGGAAGCTTTAGTTATTATTTTGAAGGGTATTTTAAGACATTACAGTAGAATGAATGAATGAATGAATAATTTATTTCAACACGCGAACCATTGTAAACAAGTGAGTAGTTTTCCACATGGGGCGTGAGCAAATTTTACAGAAACAAATTTAACAAGAAAACTAAATTACGCATTTAATAAAAACGACAATTTTTTTTAAAATAGACATGTTTCGACATCTCATGATGCCATCTTCAGTATAAGTGAAATAATAAATAATACAAGGTTTATATAAAAGTAATATGATACATAAATTAAAACAATAATAAGGAAATAAAATTAAATGTCGATATGACCTTCGTACTTTGTTGGACAATTAAAGCAATTGTCTCATGAACCTGAAAAATTCCTGACCTGCTCACCACTGAGCGACTTCATAGCTCAGTTGGTCAGAGCACTGCACCGGCACCGCAGAGGTCATGGGTTCGAATCCCGTTGAGTCACCTGAATTTTTCATGAGACAATTGCAATTGTCCAACAAAGTGCGAAGATCATATCTACATTTAATTTCAAACACCGCACTGCATAAAACATTCTTAATAAGGAAATATGATAAATTAATGGGGAGCGTCCGAACAGCATCATGTGATGTCGAAACATGTCTATTTTAATAAAAATTGTCGTTTATATTAAATGCGCAATATCAATCGTGCCTTTACGCGGTTACGGTAATACTAAATTAACCAAGCACAGTTCCTAACACAATAAATTACATTTTATAGACTACAAACTTAGCTAAGTATTTACATTTAAATATCACGACATTATTTGGGAAAGAGAGCAGCGACTCTTTTTTAAATAGACATTAGAGAGAACGAGACTAAAATTTTATTCAAAAGGTAAAATGACTTAACACTTGGCGAACAATTTAGAAACGTCACATTTATATATCGTAAAAACCCGCATGATAATTCTTTGTCTTTTGTTTTACAAACCTTTTACTGGTCAACGGTTGAAACTTTCTAGTTTTGATATTTAGCGCACTGGAAGTTAAGTGTCATATGAATAGATTGCCAATCTATTCACTAAAATTGCTATGCCAAACAATTTAACAAAGAATGAAAGCGAAGGCGTGTTAAATTGGGCAAAACAATCAACCGATGCAATCAATCCAACACCATATCATATTTCCAACATTACATTCAACTAAATTTTATCGCTTAAAATGACAAATACACTACTATGTTGTCTCTCTTGTGGTAATACAAAATGAAATTAAACAACTTCAGATAATTGTACCATAAAATTGATTACGTTTTAAAAATATTCATAAAATTTGCTATTGTAAAAGCAACTGTGGCGTCACACAACCACTGGGAGCGCTCCATTAATCAGATATTGTTGAGTCCCCCTTGCCCTTGCTAGATATGGTCTGAATGATCGTATTTATCAATTTATAGTGCTTATACATAAATCAAATTCATTTACAGATTTAAATAGAGAATAATCTGTACACCACACAAAAAGAAAATTCCCCTCTTGATGAATTTATAATAACTGCTAAATGAATGAATCTCAGCAAACTCTAAAATACCAATTGCAGTAGTATAGAAACTGCCAGTTCTAGCACACTTCACAGTTTGAGAAGGAGTATACACAAATCTAAGCGCCCCAGCCCTAGTTCGTGTACGTGGTTCACATAGTAAGCACATAGTAAGCACATAGTAAGCACATAAAGCACATAGTAAGCACATAGTAAGCACATAGTAAGCAACATAGTAAGCACATAGTAAGCACATAGTAAGCACATAGTAAGCACATAGTAAGCACATAGTAAGCAACATAGTAAGCACATAGTAAAGCACATAGTAAGCACATATAGTAAGCACATAGTAAGCACATAGTAAGCACATAGTAAGCACATAGTAAGCAACATAGTAAGCACATAGTAAGCACATAGTAAGCACATAGTAAGCACATAGTAAGCACATAGTAAGCACATAGTAAGCACATAGTAAGCACATAGTAAACACATAGTAAGCACATAGTAAGCACATAGTAAGCACATAATAAGCACATAGTAAGGACATATATCGGCACAAAAATCACAAGACAGCGAAGGCCAAACCCTGGACAAAGGCAGGAGCCAAAGACGGCCGGCCCACCCCCCGCGCCCGGCCGTCTGGGGTCTATTAATTCTAATGTGATAATTAGTTAGTTAGTACTCGTCGAGAGGGCTCCCCTCGAGGACCCAAGTCCAACATGCGGAGGTGAGCATCTACTCGCTTCCTCGCAAGCAGAACATGCCGTTGCAGTTCCTCGGGAGCAGCCCCGGAGGAAGCGGTGAGGCCACCCCCTAGATCTCATCAGCTCCTCAACTAGCTTTTCTCGGTGCCCAGGCGACTCGACATGCTTACATAGCCATTCCACATCCCCGCCGCTGTCGTCACACAGGCGGCAAACGAATTTCATAGCTTTGCCAGCCAACGACGCGCAATTATGCCGCCGACCATTGAAATGCACGGCTATATTCATGAAGCTCATAGCGCCAGTTTGACATGCCAAACACTCCATACCACTGACGCTATTTCATACACACCGTTTTATTCAACTATTGGTTTTCCTTCGCAAACAAAAGAGATGTTCACCGCTGTGATTTATTATGATCACAGCTTCGGTCTGTAGCCCCCGGCGCGGGTAGAGTGATGAAAACTGTCACACCAAGATGATGCAACACTGTCAATGGGGCACAACATTTTATGTCTAGCGTGAATCGCCATCCACCACTTGAAGCTGGATTTTTTTCAGAGCGTCCATGCGCCCGAACTGAATGCCCTCCTCACGCCCACTCGCATGTGCAGCGTCGAGCTGGGCTTCTAGCTCTCGCGTCTGTTCGCGGAGAGCTCTCTGTGTCTGGCTTCTAATGTCGTCTTTCAACGAAGCGAAGCGCTCTGCTTCGCCCAAAACGAGCTGGTACTCACTTTCGCTGCCGTTGCTATCTCAAAGCGCTTGGCTCGTGATCAGCGAGATTGTTCGGAGCACGGTCTCAGCGGACGTCCGGATGCGATCGTGTTTTTCAGCTTTCTTGTGCAATCTGCGGCTCACGACCCGACCAGCGAAAGTGGCCGTGCCGCAAACTGCTGCTGCCTGGAGTTAAGACGACGGTACTGAGTACGGCAAAGCCGCTAACAGCGCTGCCCACAGTGATAGCAGACAGGGCTTTGCCCGTGCCGTCTAACCCGTTCACAGCTCTTTTGTACTTTTTTGTAGAGCGTTTGGCTGGCTTCCATTTCCGCGTACAAGCGACCTTCAACCTCTGAAATCTTCTGTAATCGGTACGTATTTCCGGCATCGCTCGCAGTTGGCAGCATAGGAAAGAGAGGCGCCGTCGACGACATCGGAGGTGAAAAAGGGATCGCAGAGGGCTCACACAAGGTCATACTGCTCCAATAGCAATGTCACTATAAAACCAACGGTAGCGTCTGTTGAAGAAAACCCAATAGCAGCCCCCGCATCAACCTCTAATGCAGGGTCGAAAACTGTGAAGGCTGAAACCTGCCGCGTAGCTTGCGCACTTCGAAAGTTGTCTTCTCGACATCGTTCATCATCAGCCGGACGGTCGCAACATAGTTTACAGCAGCCGCGATCCCCATGCGAAGCACTCGACTCGAGCTGAGAACCGCGCCAAGCGGAGACCATCCGCCGGCCTCCCTCTCCGCCTGCAGAGTAATACGCGTAGGAGGGCGTCCCACCCTCCTCGCAGCGCCATCGGAACGACGATACTCTACCCGTTTGGCGGCCTGAGCTTTGGTGAGAATGGTCTCCAGCTGCGTACGGGTGGGGCGGTTAAAATCGTATTCCCATACAGAGATCGAGCTCGGTGGATCTTGCTCGGCATTGTATTGGC